GTAAATACAGCTGTTCCAAATGAGAGAAATTGGCCAAAACAAGAGTTACAGGGCCCATGCAAGTCTGAAATCCAGAGGGGCAGTCAAATTTTAAAGCTCCAAAGTGATCTCCTTTGACTCCAAGTCTTATATCCAGGTGACACTGATGCAAGAGGTGGGTTCCTATGGTCTTGGGCAGCTCCGCCCCTGTGGTTTTGCAAGATACAGCCTCCCTCCCAGCTGCTTTTATGGGCTGGCATTGACTGCCTGCAGTTTTACCAGGCGCACGGCACAAGGTGCCAGTGGATCTGCCATTCTGGGGTCTGGAGGATGGGGTGGCCCTCTTCTCACAGCTCCACTAGGCAGTGCCCCAGTAGGGACTCTGCGTAGGGGCTCCAACCCCACATTTCCCTTCCACACTGCCCTAGCAGAGGTTCTCTATGAGGGCCCTGCCTCTGCAGCCAACTTTTGCCAAGGCGTCCAGGTGTTTCCATACATCTTCTGAAATCTAGGCCCAGGTTCCCAAACCTCGATTCTTGACTTCTGTGTACCCGTGGCTCAATAGCAAGGCTGTGTACCCATGGAAGCTACCAAGGCTTGAGGCTTCCACCCTCTGAAGTGACAGCCGAAGCTGTGAGATGTTGGCCCCTTTCAGCCACGGCTGGAGCTGCTGGGACACAGAGCACCAAGTCCCTATGCTGCACACAGCATGGGGACCCTCGACTCAGCTCACAAAACCATTGTTTCCTTCGCCTCCAGGCCTATGATGAGAGGGGCTGCCATGAAGATCTCTGACATGGCCTGGAGACATTTTCCCAATACTCTTGGGGATTAACATTAGGCTCCTTGCTACTTATGCATATTTCTGCAGCCAGCTTGAGTTTCTCCCCAGAAAATGTTTTTTTTTTTTTTCCTATCACATAGTCAAGGCAGCAAATTTTCCAAACTTCTATGCTCTGCTTCCCTTATAAAACCAAATGCCTTTAACAGTACTCAAATCACCTCTTGAATGCCTTGCTGCTTAGAAATTTCTTCCACCAGATACCCTAAATCACCTTTCTCAAGTTCAAAGTTCCACAAATCTTTAGGGCAGGGGCAGAATGTTACCAGTACCTTTGCTAAAACATAACAAGAGTCATCTTTACTCCAATTGTCAACAAGTTCCTCATCTCCATCTGAGACCACTGCAGCCTGGACCTTACTGTCCATATCGCTTTCAGAATTTTGGGCAAAAACCATTCAACAAGCCTCTAGGAAGTTCTAAACTTTCCCACATTTTCCTGTCTTCTTCTAAGCCCTCCAAACTGTTCCAACCTCTGCCTGTTGCCCAGTTCCAAAGCTGCTTCCACATTTTTGGGTATCTTTTCAGCAATGCCCCATTCTACTGGTACCAATTTACTGTATTAATCTGTTTTCATGCTGCTGATAAAGACATACCTGAGACTGAGAAGAAAAAGAGATTTAATTGGACTTAAAGTTCCACAGTGGCTAGGGAGGCCTCAGAATCATGGTGGAAGGTGAAAGGCACTTCTTACATGGCAGTGGCAAGAGAGAATGAGGAAGAAGCAAAAGCAGAAACACCTGATAAACCCACCAGATATCATGAGAGTTATTCACTATTACAAGAATAGCTCTGGGAAGACTAGATTTCATGATTCAATTACCTCCCCCTGGGTCCCGCCCACAAGTGGGAATTCTGGGAGATACAATTGAAGTTGAGATTTTGGTGGAGACACAGCCAAACCATATCAATCTCAGTAAATACAAAACCCACGGGTACACATCTAAGCACACAAGATTATACAGTGGCTGCCACTCACATAAATAACGAAACATATGTCTCTTCCTGCATAAGTTTTCTACTTTTCATAAACTCATTACTCCCACAGGTGAAACAACCGAATTTTCTAATCTCAAAGTATTGGTATTTCCAATGCTTTCACTTATTTGATGAAACATCTGACTGCACCCTTCATGCAATTATTAGGACCAACTGTAAGAAATAAGGCAAATTTTTAATCTCAACATCCAAAAATAATTTGGAAACAGTGTCTCATACTAACAGACCAATTAGGAGAGCACCATAAATTCATATTTATATTTACTCATATGAATACAAATATGCAATATAAATGTATATTTACTCTAATGTTTACAACCTGTTCTACTGAAAATGTATAGCCAGTGTGTGAATTTAGGGTAATGTATTCCATTTTAGACAGAACTATAACAAATGCTATAATCCTCAATAAAAACACAAGTGGACCTTTTGAGTTAAACTGAAATACAGTTTAACTATTTTCTGTAAGATGTAAGAATAAAAACGATTCCTAAAAGAGCTAGAAAGGCAACCAGAACTAATATCCCATATATTGTGATAAGTAGTAGTGCAGAGTTTGGAGTGAGATCATCTGAGTTCCAGGTGACCCTGAACAAGTCATTGCTCTTCTTGACCAGTGGTTTTCAAAGTGTGGTCCCTGGACCAATCAACGGCATTTACCTCACTTGGTAATTTGGTAGAAATGTAATCAGGAGTGATGAGAAGGGACCTCGGAATCTGGGTTTTAACAAGGTACATCCTCCTCACCACTGATGCATGATCAAATTTGAGAGCCAGTGCTCCAGGCTCTTTAATATTTTCATCCTTAAAAAAAAAAAAAAAAAGTGCCAGATGGCATGGGCTCAATATGCTTAATAAAGCAGCATTTAAAAAGTTAGGAAGCACCTATCCCTCAAGTGGAAATTCCAAGTTGGCAAATGCCTTAAGAGCCAAGCAAAACAAAACAAACACCATAAAAAATGTAAATGTGTAAGTCTTAAGATTTGTTTAAAAGTTATTTAACCTTACTTTATCATTATTCAGACATTCACATCAATGAAGCGGTGTGATATAAATGCATGAGCTCTTCTGCTTTCACATTTAACCTTCTTTCTCACACAATTCTAGTATTTTGAATCATTTCAGATCCCACCAGATTTATAAACTGAAAAATGATTTGGGGTGTGGGGAGGAGTGAAGTTGGCAATCAAACCCAAACAAGCAAGCAAAGAACACATATATGGTCAACCTAGAGTCAAGAATAGCTGTTTAGGTTGGAGTTCTGTTTAACATACTGTCTTGACTTTGCCTAGCCAATCTACCTCTGGGCCTCGGTCTTCTCAACCACAAGATGAAGCTATTAATATTCACCGGACAGGCCGGGCGCGGTGGCTCACGCCTGTAATCCCAGCACTTTGGGAGGCCGAGGCGGGTGGATCACGAGGTCAAGAGATCGAGACCATCCTGGTCAACATGATGAAACCCCGTCTCTACTAAAAATACAAAACATTAGCTGGGTATGGTGGCGTGTGCCTGTAATCCCAGTTACTCAGGAGGTTGAGGCAGGAGAATTGCCTGAACCCAGGAGGCGGAGGTTGCGGTGAGCCGAGATCGCGCCATTGCACTCCAGCCTGGGTAGCAAGAGCAAAACTCCGTCTCAAAAAAAAAAAAGTATATATATATATATATGTATGTATATTCACTGGACAGTAGTGTTAAGGCATGAAGTAACACCTGTGACAGGACTTTGTAAACTATCAAGTGAAACATGGTGTTTATGATGGAATAACATGCCCAACAATTTAATTATCCTATTGAACCTTCACAATCCTGAACCAACAGCTGCTGTCCTCATTACACGAATGAAAAACCTGAAAAGAAATTCAACTTGTCCCGGACCACACACCTAAAAAGTGGCAAATAAAGAACTCTGAAGTACAGGAGTAGAAAGTACAGCACTCTGGGGACTGACGGGAGGTTAACTTTCAACAATCCCAGCGAAAGGCAACGGTGAAGCACTAAGAACTCTCCCGGCGAGAACCGCGCGCCGGCGACGACTGCGAGCTGGTGCAGCGCCCGGGGCTGCGCTCACGGACTCAGGGCGGCATCGGGAGGCAGGTGGCGACTCCAGAACCAAGAGGGCCGGGATGCCTCCAACAAGGAGGGTGAGGGGAGAGACGACAAGCCCCAGAAGACCGAGTCATGAGGTGTGGGGACGTAAAACCCACAGGGACTCCAAAAGCCCTCGGAATAGGCGAGAAGGCCGGATGGAAGGACAGCGGCCCGCTCAGCCGCGGGGCCCGAGGCCAGGGGCCTGGGCGTCGGACTAGGACAGACACCACCCCCGGCCCGCCGCAGTGCAAGCCACGCCGCGCAGGCGGCAAAATCACTGTCCCCGAGCCCCAGCGGCGTCTCCACGGGCGGCGGGCCAAAGTGCCCCGCAACGCCTCACCTGAAGTGCGGCAGAACCAGCGGCAGCGGACGCAGGAACCGGCCGCCGTGACACCGAGAGCCAGCGGAAGTGAAGGGCGGGACCGGAACCGGCTGACAAACCGGAAGTGGGTGGTCTGAAACGGAAGTATGTTGTGGACCGCGCGGCTGCTTCCTTTGAATCTCTTCGGGTGCCAATGCTTAATGGCTGCTGTAAGGGATCTCCACAAAGCCGCGAAGAAGCCAGGCCTTTCCGAGACTGCAACCGCTGTGGAGATGGCACCGATCCCTGGATGACCTCTCGCTCCTTCTGCGCCTGTGCTCGCTGTGAGCCGGGAGCGGATGGGTGCTGCGGCTTGTGACGTCTCTAGCAGCATCGGAATTGGGTGTGCTGGCTTCCCCAGGTGTATTGAAGTCGTCGTGAGGTTCAGGGCTAGGACTCGCGTGGCTGTATCGTGTTCCGAATGAAGCTTAAAAGGTGATCTTTGAGAACTCAAGATTGAGACCACCCCATGGCCCCAGTGGCTACCAACACTAATAATTTTAGAATCTGAGGAGAATCTCCCATCTAAGGGAAAACGGAAAAGGGTCAGGAAAGGGAAGGGGCAAGCTGAAGTGACTCAGAATCCAGGAAGCAAATCTCATAGGAGAGCTGCGATCGAGGTTACCATACTGTATCGAATCGTCCCAACCCTCGCATCAGCACCTCCATACCGTCTTTCCTCTGAATGCAAGGAAAGCCGGTTACACAAAGGCAGACAAAAGAATGTCAGACTTGAATGGAAATGCGGAGCAGTCCTCATCTGCTCCATACAGCGAACTTCCAGGGCGCACGACGGCGATGTAACTAATGTTTTCCTCTTGGCAGTGAGGGTAAGACAGCAAACAGCCAAGTTTTGTATCTTAGCAGTTCTTTAGTTAAGAGGCACATGCTGTTTTTTACATTCTTCTCTCCTTTTAATTTTTTTTTTTTTTTTTTTTTGCTGCACTAGTAATGCATGAGTATCTGCTCATTTAAAAATCTCAAACGTTTTTTCATTGAAAAGTATGCCCTCTGCCAGGCACGGTGGCTCACACCTGTAATCCCAGCACTTTGGGAAGGCAAGGCGGGCGGATCACCTGAGGTCGGGATTTCAAGACCAACCTGACCAACATGGAGAAACACTACCTCTACTAAAAATACAAAATTAGCCAGGCGTGGTGGCGCATGCCTGTAATCCCAGCTACTCGGGAGGCTGAGTCAGGAGAATTGCTTGAACCCGGGAGGCGGAGATTGCAGTGAGTCGAGATCGTGCCATTGCACTCCAGCCTGGACAGCAAAAGTGAAACTCCGTCTAAAAAAAAAGAAAGAAAAGTATGCCCTTTTCTTCAAAGAAAAAATAGAGGGAAGGTCTTAATTTAAAAAAAAAAAAAAAAAAAAAAAAATCATTGCCCAGACCAACATTTTCAAGCATTTTCTCAAATAGTTTTCTTGGAATAGCTGCATAGTTTTGGGTCTGACACTGAAGTTAGGTACTAATATGTGGGAGGGAAAAAGGTTCATTCCATGGAGGTAGAGAGTAAAATTGTGGTTACCAGAGGCTGGGAAGGATAGGAGGGAGAGGGAGATGAAGAGAAGTTGAAAGGAGTGAAAATACAGTTAGACGGAATAAGTTGTAGCATTCCACAGCACAAGAAGGGTGACTATAGTTATCAATTTATTATATATTTCAAAATAGAAAGTTTAGAATATTCTCAACACAAATGATAAATGTTTGAGGTGATGACTATTCAACTTACCCCAATTTAATCATTACACATATGCATATATCAAAATATCACATGAATAGGTATAATTATTATGTATTAACCAATCAATAATAAAGTAAAAGTGTTTTAAAAGAATGGGAAATCCTAAAATTACAAGAATTTATATCAGAAAATATCACACACTAGCAGTCAATTCAAAAAGACCATTAAAAGGCAAGGGACTGAACTCCAAAATGAATAATTATAATGTTTTTCAACCCAGTCTCTTATTCCTGGCTTTGTTCACCTGTCAGCTAGCTGCGTGCCACTTTATATTTTTACTATTGTCATTAAAGAAGCTTGTTTTTGTTAATTACCAAAGTCAAGTGAAACATTTCACTAATTTTGACATAACCAACACTATTCATATGGAGATTCTTGTTTTTAATGGCACAATAGCCATGTTACAAGGGGTCTGATAAGTCGGGTATTTCTAGAGTGTAGGTACTTTAATAATTGCCAAGTGTTGTACAATAGTATTTCTCAGAATTAGGGTAGCAAAATGTTTGGGATAAACAATCCCCTTAAATGATTTCAAGTTACCTTTTGCCCATATCTCAGTTCCTCCAAGTCCATTTCTACTTAGCTAAACATTCATGAAATTAGAAATAGTGTTAAGAAAAGACTTGGAGTAGATTTAAAGACATCATTTCACAAAAGGACCTGTAGTCTTGATAAATCTAGGAATGACAAAACGGACCCAGGAAAGGGCTCACAGCCGACTCACAGTCGCCAATAAGAAAATAACTTCTGGCTGGATGCAATGGCTTACACCTGTAATCCCAGCACTTTGGGAGGTCAAGGCAGGCAGATCACTAGAAGTCAGGAATTTGAGACCAGCCTGGTCAACATACTGAAACCCCATCTCTACTAAAAATACAAAAATTAGCTAGGCAGGGTGGCACGCACCTGTAATCCTAGCTACTCGGGAGGCTGAGGGATGAGAATCACTTGAACCTGAGAGTTGGAGGTTGCAGTGAGCCAAGATCACACCACTGCACTCCAGTCTGGGTGACAGAGCAAGACTTTGTCTCAAAAATAAAAGAACTTTTGTCTCCTGTTGCTCCCTGGAGCCTCTCTTCTAATGTGGGGAGGATAATATACTTGTCCTTCATTTATGCAGCCCTGTAGCAGCTAAAGATGCCTAGAAATTCCTCTATAGATGGTCAGTTCTAAGAGTCTGTATATATATATATATATATATATATATATATATATATATATATAAGCATTTTCACAGCATCAGATGATAAACTGTTAATATTACTAAGACCACATTTACTTTGGAAGACAAAAAGATATTCCTGCATGTAGGCTAGAAATCCACCACTACTCTGCTTTTATCTCCATCTGCCCCAGACTTTTTTCTCTGCTTTTCTCTCTTTGGCCATTTTCTTTCTCTAGCAAGTGTGTTCTCTTGCCTAGCTGAGATCTACTCACCTCATAAAGCTTTCCCTCTCTTTCCAGTTGGAAGACAATCCTCTTTAAAAATTTAATTTCCTCTAGAGTTTATCTCTCTCTTCTAATACCTACTCCCTTGCCTTCATCTTGCCTGCAGTACGGGAGCTGAAAATATTTAGAATTTGCCCCATATGACAGAATACAGGTTCTTAATGAAGCCTGCCCAGTTACTGCCCTTCTCTATTCAGTGTACTTTCCCTAAACTACTACTTAAAAACTCCATTTTCTTCAAACCTCAGAACTTCCAATATACATCTTTGCTCTAGGCAGATGACATTGTCCCATATTTTGGCAATTCCTCTTCAAACCTCTAAATCTACATTAGTCATCCTCACTTTTGCTTCTATTTCAGTTGAGACAGTTCCCTTCTATTTGAAGCCAACCCTTTTACTTGGTCTCTGGCTTCTTCCTTCTAAGGAAGCTTTCTATAAATCCAGGATTCCCTTCTCTTGCTCTTATATATTTAGCCTCTTTCTTCTGGCTCATTCCATCAATAATAAACGTGCCATGGTATCTTGCCATCATAGCCACCACCCTTTCCTTTCACAGATGGATATTCAGAACATTGTTTACAGTTGTCTGAACTTGACATACTCTATAATTGTGTATTTCTTAGAGCTGTTATTTGTTTAGTGACATTCTCTACCACTATATTATAAGCATATTATTCCTTGTTTACACTGCTATAAAAATGCTACCTGGGTCTGGGTAATTTATAAATAAAAGAGGTTTAATTGACTCACAGTTCCACAGGGCTAGAGAGGCCTCAGGAAACACAATCATGTCAGAAGGTGAAGGGGAAGCAAGATATGTTTTATATGGTAGCAGGAGAGAGAGAGTGTGTGTGTACAGTGGGAACTGCCACTTTTAAACCATCAGCTCTCATGAGAGCTCCCTCACTATCATGACAGCAGCGTGGAGGAAACCACCTCCATGATCAAATCACCTCCCACCAAGTCCCTCCCTTAACACATGGGGATTATAATTTGAGATGATATTTGAGTGGGGACGCAAAGCCAAACCATATTAGTAAATTTTGTTTAAAAACAGATAATTTATTCACCTTCCTATTCTGAGAACCTAGCATGATATTGTCTAACATAGGTGCTCAATAAATATGTGCTAAATTAATGAAGAATGAATGTTAAGTAATAAGAGCATATTATATAACAGTTGTCCTCTGGTTTTGGTAGGACGTTGATTCTAGGACCCCAGATGAATAACAAAATCTGAGGATGCTCAAGTTCCTGACGTAAAATAGCATAATATTTGCCTATAACCTATACACATCCTGTCATATTCTTTAAATTATCTCTCAATTGCTTATAATATCGAATACAATGGAAATGCTATATAAATAGTTGGTATACTGTATTGCTTTTACTTCCATTATTTTTTATTGTTGTCCTATTATCTTTGGGTTTTTCCCCTAATATTTTCAACCTGAGATTGATTAAATGCATAGTTTTGAAACCTGTGGATCCAGAGGGCCAGCTGTATATATTATGCATGTAACAATACGTATCAGTGAATGATTACAATTTGTATATAACTCTGGAGGTACAGGAAAGTTCTGAAATGTACACTGAAATTGTGATAGATCATAGCTCTGTAGGATGTACTCAGTAAATATATGTTAGGTGAATTAATGAAATTTTCTGTTTGTGGCATCATAGAACAGGTGATTTTCATCTTGCTTGTATTTTTCCGTATATCTGAATTTTTACAATGATTTTACATTACTTTTATTTCTTTTTTATATGAGAATTTCATAAAGGCATTCTTTTAAATAATATTCAAATAACACATATATTCATAACTCTGCTAACTTTTTAGTGCCTATCCTTGCTTTTCTATACTTTATACACACTCATACACACATATGTATAGTTTATGTGATTTTTTTTTTTTTTATCTTGCTCTGTTACTCAGGCTGGCGTACAGCAGCACCATCAAGGCTCGCTGCAGCTTTGACCTCCCAGGCTTGGGTGATCCACATCAGCATTTCAAGTAGCTTAGGCTAGAGGTACGTGCTACCATATCCAGCTGATTTTTTCCGTGTATGTTTTTTCTAAAGACAGAGTTTTGCCATGTTGCCCAGGCTGGTCTCAAACCTCCTGAACCCAAATAATCCACCCATCTTGGCCTTTCAAAGTGCTGGGAATTACAGGTGTGAGCCACCGTGCCCGGCCTTTTGTGAGACTTTTTAAAGTGTATTTTTAGATCATTGTAGATTCCCAAGAGAATTGTAGATTCTCCTGAGACTCTACAATGATTTGAAAATAATTATAAATATTTTATAATTATTATAAATTGTATTTATAAATATTTATGTTACTTCATAATTATAATTTTAAATTATTAAAACTTCTGCAAAAAGAAAAGTCATGTGTACTCTTCACTCAGTTTTTGCCAGTGAATTACATCTTACATAACTATAGTACATCAAAACCAGAAATTGACATTCATGCTGTGAGTGTACTTATAGCTCTATGCCATTTTATCACATGCAGATTCATGTAATTACCTCTATGACACAGGGAACTATTCCATCACCACACTTGTGCTACCTCTTTGTACTCACATCCACCCCCATTCCTCTGACCACTCCTAATCGCTGGCCACTAATCTGTTTTCCACCTTTATAATTTTGTCATTTTAAGAATATCATGTAAATGGAGTCAACCAAGATTCGTTTAAACTTCTAAGTTGATATGATTTGGTACTGATAAGAGTGTATATTTTGTATATTTAAAGTGGAGAGTTCTATAAATGTTAATTACATTTACTTGTTCCAGATCTGAGTTCAAGTCCTGGATATCGTTGTTAATTTTCTGTCTCACTGATTTGTCTAATATTAATGTTGAGGTCTCCCACTATTATTATGTGGGAGTCTAAGTCTCTTTATAAGTCTTGTATGTCTGCATATTCCTGTATTGGGTGCGTATATATTTAGGATCTTTAGCTCTTCTTGTTGTTGCATTGATCCTTTTATCATTATATAATGTCCTTCTTTGCTTCTTTTGATCTTTGTTGCTTAATTGTAACTTCTGCTTTTTATTTATTTATTTTAGCTCTCTGTTTGGTTGGTAAATCTTTCTCCATCCTTTGTTTTGAGTCTTTGTGTATCCTTGAATGTGAGATGGGTCTGGATGCAGCATACTGATGGGTTTTAGTTTTTTATTCAAATTGCCTGTCTGTCTTTGGATTGGGGGATTTAGTCAATTTAAATTTAGAGTTAATAATAATATATGTGAGTTTAATACTGCCATTTAATATTAGCTGGCTATTTTGTCCATTAGTTGATGTAAATTCTTCATTATATTGATGCTCTTTTTGATAATTTTTTTAGAAAGGCTGATACTGTTTGTTCCTTTCTATGTGTAGTGGTTCTTTCAGAAGCTCTTGTAAAGCAGGCCTGGTGGTGATGAAATCTCTGAGTGCTTGCTTATTCACAAAAAACTTTATTTTTCCTTCACTTGTGAAGCTTAGTTTGGCTGGATGTGAAATTCTGGGTTGAAAGTTCTTTTCTTTAAGGATGTTGAATATTGGTCCCCACTCTCTTCTGGCTTGTAGGGTTTCTGCTGAGAGATCTGCTGTAAGTCTGATAGGCTTCCCTTTGTGGGTAACCTGACCTTTCTCTCTGGCTGCCCTTAGTATTTTCTCCTTCATTTTAACCCTGGTGAATCTGACGATTATGTGCCTTGGAGTTGCTCTTCTTGAGGAATATCTCTGGTGTTCTCTGTATTACCTGGAGTTGAATATTATCCTACCTTACTAGGCTGGGAAAATTTTCCTGAATAATGTCCTGAAGCGTATTTTCCAGCTTGGATTCATTCTCTTCGTCACATTCAGGTACACCTATCAAGCGTAGATTAGGTCTTTTCACATAGTCCCATATTTCTTGGAGACTTTGCTCATTCCTTTTTATCCTTTTTTCTCTAATCTTGTCTTCTTGTTTTATTTCATTGAGTTGGTCTTCGACCTCTGATATCCTTTCTTCTGCTTGATCAATTCGGCTGTTAAAACTTGTGCATTCTTCACGAAGTTCTCGTATTGTGTTTTTCAGCTCCATCAATTCACTTACATTCCTCTCTAAATTGTGTATTCTTGTTAACATTTCGTCAAATCTTTTTTCAAAGTTCTTAGTTACTTTAGATTGGGTTAAAACAAGTTCTTTTAATTCACAGAAGTTTCTTATTATCCACATTTTGAAGCCTGCTTCTGTAATTGGAACACATTTGTTCTCCATCAAGCCTTGTTTCGTTGCTGATGAGGAACTGTGATCCCCCGCTGAGGGAGAGGCGTTCTGATCTTGGGTATTCTTAGCCTTTTTTGGCTGTTTTCTTCCCTTCGTTATAAATTTATCCATCTGTGGTCTTTGTATTTACCGTCTTTGTAATTGGGTTTCTGAGTGGACGTCCAACTTACTGATTCTCAGCGCCGAAATCTGAGCAACCCACTGCGCTGACTCAATCAGCGGCGTTAAGATTGATGGTGCTTTTCTGACTCTGCACCAAGAACCGTCGCTCCAAGGCGCCGGCAAAACCGCCTCGCCGGTCACAAGAGTCGCGCTGGCGACCCGTGGGGCTCCTACGCTGGGAATCTCCTGGTGCGTGAGCAACAAGAATTCATGTGAAGGTGTGGCGTCCTCTCATTCTTTGCGCTTTCACTGGGAGTTACAATCCCGAGCTGCTAGTGATCAGCCATCTTGGATCTCAAGAATATCATGTAAATGGAATCATACAGTATAAGTGGAGATCATCCTTTTCATTCATCATTAGGCCCTTGAGATCCAGTCAAGCTATTTTGTGTATCAGTAGTTCATTTCTTTTTATGCTGAGTAGGATCCCTGTGTGGATTTACCAAAATTTTTCTAACCATTCACTTATTGGGCATTTTAGTTGTTTCCAAGTTTTGCCTTTTAGAAATAAAGTAGACCATTTATTTACAAGGTAATTTGTAATCTGTTGAGACTTAAGTCTTCCCACCTATGTTTTGTTTCCTGTTTGTGCCTTCTGTTTTTAGTTTTTCTATTTTTTCTTGTTATTCTATTTCTTGAATATTGTTTTAGAATTCCATTTTGATTTGCCTGCAGTTGTTTTAAGTGTATCTCTTTGTATATTTTTTTTTTAGTTTATCTCTGAGTAGATTTTGTAGTGGTTGCTCTAGGTATTATTACATTATATTTACATTATATTTAAGTTATATAAATATAACTTAAAACAGTCTATTAGTGATAACATGTTACTAGTTCAAGTGAAGTGGAAGGGGATTTATTACAGGGATTGGCTCATATAATAGCGGAGGGTGAGAAATCCCTTGGCAGCCCATCTGCAAACTGGAGTCTCTGGGATGCTGGTAGTAGTATGGTGAGGTCCAAGCCCCAAGGCTGAAGAACCAGGGAAGCTAGTGATGTAACTCCAAGTCCAAGGCCAAAGGTCTGAAAATCCAGTTGGTCAGGTAGGGAGGGTGACTCTCGTGCAAGTCCTGGAGTTCAAAGCCTGGGGAGCCTGGAGTTGTTTTCCTAGGACAAGAAAGGAAAAAACACATCCCAGTTCCAGCAGATAGAGTGATGCATTCACCTTTCCTCTGTTTTTATTCTCTCTGAGCCCCTAGCAGATTGGATGGTGCCTGCCCACATTGCAAGCAGATCTTCCCCAGCTAGTCCACTCAGACTCACACACTAATTTTCTCTGGAAGCATCTTCACAGACACACCCAAAAATAATGCTTTACCAGATTTCTAAGTATTCCTTAACCAAGTCAGATTGACATCTAAATTTAACCATCACTGTAGGTCTGCTAGCAACGAAAGCTCTTAGTCTTCCTTCATTTGAGAATGTCTTGATTTCTCCTTTATTCCTGAAGCATATTTTCACTGAATACAGAATTCTGGGCTGGCTTTTCTTTTCTTTTGGCCCTTGAAAAATGTGCTTTTTTCTTCTAGCCTCCAGTGTTTTACATGAGAAATCCTGTATAATTCTAATTGTTTTTCACCCTACTCATAAGTCATTGTTTCCTTTTTGCTGCATTCAAGACTTTTATTTATTTTTCTGTCTTTAGTTTTCAAATGTTTGACTAATGATGTGTCTGGTGGGGATTTATTTGTGTTGATCTTGTTTGGGGCTCACTCAGCTTCTCTAACCTGTAAGCTTATGTCTTTAGCCAAATTTGGGTAATTTTCAAACACTAGTTCTTTAAACACTTTTTGAGGTCTGCTGTCTTTCTCCTCTCATTCCAGGGCTCTGATAGCACAAATGTTAGATATTTTGGTAGAGTCCACAGGTCCCTGAACCTCAGTTAATTTTTTTTAGTCTATTTTCTCTCCATTGTTCAGATTAGATAACTTCTCCTATTCTATCTTTAGGCTCATTGATTCTTTCTTCTGTGCTCTTCCTTCTTCTATCCACTCATTTTTTTTTATTTTGGATATTGTATTTTTCAGTATGAAAATCTCAATTTTTTTCTTTATGTCTTCTATTTTTTGCTAAGACTTTTTATTTACTTTGAGCACGTTCATAGCTGTTCATTAAAGCATTTTTATGATGACTGCTTTAAAACCCTTATTATGGGCCGGGCGCGGTGGCTCAAGCCTGTAATCCCAGCACTTTGGGAGGCCGAGGCGGGTGGATCACGAGGTCGAGAGATCGAGACCATCGTGGTGAACGTGGTGAAACCCCGTCTCTACTAAAAATACAAAACATTAGCTGGGCATGGTGGCACGTGCCTGTAATCCCAGCTACTCAGGAGGCTGAGGCAGGAGAATTGCTTGAACCCAGGAGGCGGAGGTTGCAGTGAGCCGAGATCGTGCCATTGCACTCCAGCCTGGGTAACAAGAGCAAAACTCTGTCTCAAAAAAAAAAAACAAACAAACCCTTATTATGTAGGCTAAGATAACATAATTCCAACATCTGTATTATCTTGGTGCTAAATCTTATTTAAATTTCTGTTTCATCAGGCCTTCTCTGACACTGAATTGTTAGAAGAAGGGAGATGACACCTTCAAACTTTCTGGCTGGGGAGGAAGCCAAAGCTCTCCATCAGGCCTCCTTTGACAACCAAGGTTGGTGGGGAAGGTATCTCATTACTGTTGGGTAAGGTTGGGAGTTCACACTCCCCACTCTGCCTCCACTGATACTACCCTGGTTGGGAGGGAGAGAGATGCCTCATTACTGTCCCTTGTAACTGAGCCCAGTTTCAGCTGCTCACTGCTTGAAAGCCAGGCATGAAAAATGATGGTTGATGGAAAGAAAAGCAGATTTACTCAGAGAGCCAACTAACTGAGAAGATGGTGGACTCTCATTTTAAAGTACAATCTTAAGTCAGTACAAATATTAGGCTCTTTTTATGTTAAAGGGAAGAGGAAGAGGAGGGAGATGAGATCAAGAGGTGACCAATAACCACAGACATCTGGGCACCAATGAGGGTCCAAAGTGGTTGGGAACTTCTTTGTCCTTGGTCATGTCACAAATGCTCCTATAAATCTTCAACAGAACATAGTTAGCTGTTTACATACTTCTCCTTTAATCCTAGAGTTAGTTCTAAAAACTATATGATTGCTGTTTTTGCATATTATCTCAGTGTTCTAAATTATCCTAGCCTACATGCAGGAATGAGTAAAGTCCCCCTAAACAAAAACTGGATTAGTTATGTTAGTTCTTTTGCTGTTTCACTGTTACATCCTCACACGGCCTCTACTGACACTTCAGAGGATGTGTTGGGGCACTCATTACCACTGGAAGATGGTGAAAGTTTGGCTTCTCACTCAGCCTTCTCTAAAACCAACCTGGTGGGGGTTTAGGGGACTCTATAGTCCAGCAAGGGTGATAAGTTCTGGGCTTCCCATTCAGCTGCTACTGAAGGGTGGGGATGGGACTACTGCTTTTTCTGTGACATTTGATTGGAGTATAGCAGTGTGTCAGGGGTCTCCAAGAACACTCCCAGGTTCAGTGTTTCACTAGGAAGACTCACAGGGCTCAGCATATAGTTGCAGTCACAAATAAAACGAGCAAAAGGAATAACCTCGTGGAATGAAGTCTGGAGGAAAACAGGCACAAGATTCTAAGGATTCTCTCCCAGGGAAATTATGTAGAGCACACTTAATTTTGTTAACAGGGAACTGTGACAGCAGGGATGAATTGTATCTACAAAGGAAAATTATTAGAGACTCAGTGCCCTAGGTTTTGGGGACAGTTAATTATTGCATTAGTCCACTTCAACTGCTGCTATAAAGAACTACTCAAGACTGGGTAGTTTATAAAGGAAAGACGTGTAATTGACTCACAGTTCCACATAGTTTGGTGAGCCTCAGGAAACTTACAATAATGGTGGAAGGTGAAGGGGAAGCAAGGACCTTCTTCACATGGCAGCAGGAGAGAATGTGCAAGCTGGGGAAATTCCAGGCGTTTAGAAAACCATCAGATCATGTGAAAACTCACTCATCATCATGAGAACAGCATGGGGGAAACCACTCCTATGGTTCAATCACCTCCCACCAGGACTCTCCTTCAACATGTGGGTATTATGGGAATTACAATTCAAGATGAGATTTGGTTGGGGTCACAGACAAACTATATCAATCATGTAGATACCCTTTGTCTTTCATCTATCAAAATTGCAGACTCTCAGAAGGAAAGCAGCTGTGTAGCAGAAGTTACATTGTTTGCCATCAGTCTAGGCTCAGTGAGCCATTCTTACCATTTCAGGAAAGTTTCATATCTATGTAGGAACTGTCGGATGTTCCCAGATGCCAGCAGAAGACCAATCTTGCAAGCAAGAATTTCTAAGGATAGCAGACTCAGGCTCCCCATGGTAGCTTTTCTGCACTGGTGGTTATTAACTAAATGTTTTCTTCCTTGATAGGCTGTCCCTTTCCTGTTCCTTTGTCTAGAGAGAGCAGGTTCAGGATAGGGATGGAGGACGTTATATGAACCCCCTGGTATTGCTAGGTTGCCTGTATTGCCAGTACCCAGTTTGGGATATACGAAGTAAAAAGAAAGGCCAGGGAATTTGCTGGCGTGTTTTTTAATGTAAATAGCCAAACTGCCTCATCTCTACCTTCCAGAGTCTCCTTATATTTATTTTACATATATTGCCCAGGGTTTTTAGCTATCACTTAGCAGAAAAATAGGGAGATGTGCAACTGGAACTATCTTGGAACTGGAAGTCTCTGTATTAATTTTACAATGAGAAAAAAGGCAATTTTTTCTTTTCATTTTGAAAACAAAACATAACTACAAGTGATATAGCAAATAAAACAAAACTAACTAAATAAATATAGCAAGCTTAACCTATATATAGGGTTGAAAAATTACTAACAGGAGTGAAAAACATTATCATGATTTGATTCTACTTATTCTAACAGTAAAATGCATTTTCTGTCATTTATAAAAATAATATGAACTCGGCCAGATGTGGTGGCTCACACCTGTAATCGCAGCACTTTGGGAGGCTGAGGCAGGTGGATCACCTGAGGTCAGGAGTTTGAGACCAGCCTGGCCAACATGGTGAAACCCCCTCTCTACTAAAAATACAAAAAATTAGCTGGGTGTGGTGGCAGGCACCTGTGATCCTAGCCACTTAGGAGGCTGAGGCAGGAGAATCGCTTTAACCTGGGAAGCAAGGTTGCAATGAGCCAAGATTGCACCATTGCACCACAGCCTGGACTACAAGAGTGAAACTCTGTCTCAAAAATAATAATAATAATAATAATAATAATAAAATGTACTCATCATAAAAAACTGATTCTACTTTTCTTTGACACAGGTTAATATATTAGTTTTTTTAATTTAATAAACAAAATGAAAATCTCAAAGTTAGTGAAGATTGCAGGTTGGCAGAATATCTACATTCATTTAATTTCACCATCATTTATAGAGAAGAATATTGAGTAGAAATTTTTCCTCAGTTGAAGGATAGAAGTAGAACAGACCTTCCATAGATGTCCTATGCACAGTTTTAATAGAAACAATAAAATGTGTGCTTCTCCTTTATCTCCAAAATCATGTGCATTAGAGATAGTATGTTCTTATTCCTGGGAATAATAATTACAATGTCCCTACCCACAAATTCTAGACTAATGATACTATATCTGAGAAGAAAAATTTAGCATAATATATTGCTGCCTAATCAACATTCAATTTGAAATCTTAAAAAAGAACATCAAACTGTTATGTTGTGGTATTTAACATTATGAGGGTAATTTCATTTATTTGTTTTTTTATATCCACAGTGACTCATAAGTGAATAAATTAATATCTCCCATGCTTCAAAAAATATTAATGAAATGTCTAGACAGTTACAGTCTAAATATTTACAACACCACAAGGCAAGCTTTGATTACCAATAAGCTATCTGTAATGAATAGGCTACCTTGTTTTATTCATTATGCTTCCAATCTTCAGGAGGCGTTTCTTTAGCAATATGTTTATTTCTAAAGAGCACTAGACAGAGTTCTAGAAGCAGCCTTGCCTAAAATTGCCCTCCCAACCTTGAGGAAATAAATTTCCCCTGACCTCAATTTCCCATTTGTAAAAATGAGCTTATTGAATAGCCAAAAGATAAAAAGATAAATACATTCTGTATTTCAGAACCTCTGTGATTTAATAGTTCTCAAACAACAGCCTGTGGGCCTGGGCTAGATTTTGACTGTTTCCATCAATCTTCCATTTGCAAAATGAGAAACATTAAGAATCATATAATTCATAAAGCCAAATGGAAAAATCATACTCTTCCTCTTTACTGATAGCTGTTATTACTTTCCTGGTATCTGTATTTGTCTCTCTTAGAATTGTCAAAGCTTAATTATTCATACTTAAATAAATTTCATGGAAAATTTACACTTAGTATTTAGAATTCCATTGAAAACACCAAAGTGGTAAATTTTCTCTTGATACTGTATCAAGTCCTCAAGTGACTTATTCTGAAATATTAGTTATGGTTTTAAATAACAGAAACTTAACCATACTAGCTTGAGCCTAAAGAGGGTTGTGGAGAGGAAGCAGGAGAGCACTTTTAGAAAGGGCACAGTACCAGACACAGTTACACATGTTGTTGAACCAGGAGCCAAGGTGAGTTCAAGATCCTCAGCAATAAATTCTAGATCAGGCGTCCCCAAACTACGGCCCACGGGCCGCATGCGGCCCCCTGAGGCCGTTTATCCGGCCCCCTGCCGCACTTCAGGAAGGGGCACCTCTTTCATTGGTGGTCAGTGAGAGGAGCACAGTATGTGGTGGCCCTCCAACAGTCTGAGGGACAGTGAACTGGCCCCTTGTGTAAAAAGTTTGGGGACGCCTGTTCTAGATCCACAGGCCTTCTCTCTGGAGCACCGCAATTCATATGACTATGACTCCTAATCTGTGTATTGCTTAGCTCCCACATTCCGAAATCCTGAGATAGAATCTTATTGCCCTCACTTAGGCCACATGTCTGTCTCTGAACCAATCAGTTCTGCCTAAGGGATCAGGTTCCACCTGAGCTTGCCCCTGTGTACTGGGGAGGGTTCTCAGGGATGAGAGCCTCTCTGTAGGCTGAATAGCCACTCCTGAAGTGAAGTTCTTCTACATTGACAGTTAACAGTATTATTTTCTTAATAAGTTTCAATATTACTTTTTCTTCCCTTAATATTCTAGTTAATTTATTATTCATTCACCCACTCTATTTTTTAATGATAGTCACATTTTATCCATAAGAAAATCACTCATTTTCTTCTTCTCCATTCATATCTTAGCTCTTTGGATTTACATTAATTTTAAATTACACCACCTAGAAATGTATTTTCTGCTGTCACTGTTACTAGCAAATGTAAAAAGTATTAAATAGTTCCAAATTAGTTCATGACTCTCTGATCTTGAAATCCCCTGTATTTTACATCAACAGTGATTTCTACATTAATTTTTTTCTTAAAATTACTCTCTCTGAGGTTGGATGTGGTGGGTTACTCCTGGAATCCCGGCACTTTGGAAAGCTAAGGCAGGAGGATCACTTTAGGCCAGGAGACTGAGACCAGCCTGGCCAACAAAGTGAGACCCTGTCTCTATTAAAAATGGAAAAACTTATCAGGAGTGCTGGTGCATGCCTGTAGCTGCAGCTACTCAGGAGACTGAGATGTGAGAATCACTTGAGCCCAGAGTTCAAGGCTATAGTGAGCCATGAGCATGCCACTGCACTCCAGCCTGGGTAACAGAATGGGACCCTGACTCTAAAAAAAAGTAATCTCTCTGAATCTGATAATACTGTAATAATTCCAATTTTGATGTGAATCACAATTATTATTATTTTTTATGGTGAATCTAGCCTATAACTTTTTTATCCTCATGAGTTTCCCATAATAATATTCCCAGTTAATATTTTAATAATAATAACAGCTATTATTCATTTATGTAAACATTATAGATAGAATATTTCATTTAATTTTCACAACCTTACGAGTATCAAATTAAAACTTTCTGTCTCCAAACAAAAAACGGGCAAACTATAGATGTCTGTGTTTTACTCATGGTTTGTGAAAATCACTGGCTGCAATCTGTTTAAAATCAGATTTTGTTGCTTGGTGCTCTGCCTCTGATGTTGACTTAACTCCGTTTCTGCATCCTCAAGAAGGCTGGGTGATGAAAGCCTAAGACTGCAGTTAACTGCCACAGGTGTACCACTGTGCTTGCCTTGTAGATGTATTTATTTTTATTTTCAGTCAATGGTCAGCATAGCTGACATCTGGCACTATTTCCTCCAGATTTCCTCTGTAATATCTGGTATAGGCATGAAGCTTTTGTGACCCTGGAAAATGTAACTTTAAACATTAACCAGCTACCTGCTTGCTTTGTATTGTTTCTATTTATGTGTGTGTTTTCGTAAACTGCTCTGTTGATCCTTCTATTTTTCAGCTGTATCCCACTTCCAATTCTGTTCTGTCTCTGAACAGCCCACTCTTTGATTATTTTGCTGGTGCCCTTGCTATTATTACTAATCATTGGCACATGCCAACATCAGTATGTCTAAGAATTGCTCTTAACCCTTTAAAGCAGGGGTCCTCAACCCCTGGACCATGGATGAGTAAGATCCACAGCCCTGTTAGGAAGCAGGCAGCAGGTGAGTGTGGCGCATGAGCATTACCAACCAAGCTCTGCCTCCTGTCAGATCAGTGGTGGCATTAGATTCTCACAGGAGCAAAAACAGGCACAGGGTGTTGCTCTGTTACCCACAGGCAGGAGTACAGTGGCAAAATTATAGCTAACTGTAGCTTCAACATCCGGGGCTCAAGTGATGCTCCTTCCTCAGCCTCCTGAGAAGCAGGCATGCACCACCATGCTCAGATAATTTTTTGTTTCTATTTTGTAGAGACAGGGTCTCACCTTGTTGCCCAGGCTGATCTTGAACTCTTGAGCTTAATAAATCTTGTCACCTCGACCTCCTAAAGTGCTGGAATTACAGGCGTGAGCCACCATGCCCATCCATGTTTTACCTTTAATAGGTGTAAAATTGTGATCCCTAAAGGAAAACCCAGGTCCCTAAGGATCTATAGCATGTTTGACAGAAGAAAATAATGTAGTTTTCTCCCAGATTTTAAGTCAGCCAGGAAAGGAAATTATTTTAAGACAGCTCTTTTTAAACTGACATTTGTTTAGATAAATATATTAATTATTTAGAGTAAATCCAGTCCCTGCTATACAGAAATAGTTTATTCAAATTCAGTTTGAATTTCAAATGTCTCCAGGTGTTTACACAACTGCTTTTGTAAAACTTACTACAACTACAGTTCATATTACTGGGGACTTGTTAAACACCAGCAATTGAAGTGCTGTTTTCATACTATCTAGAGATTGAAGAAAATGAAATCCACTTGAAAACAAGTTGATAAATACTATCCTAAAAATGATAGTTCTATTGCACTTCCATTTGAGCAATTGTGTAATTATATAACTACTACAGAGAAACTAAAGCAGAAAAATTGAAAAATACTTTAGAAGATAAAACTATTGCTATTTTTCTGGACCAGCAAAAGAGACTTGTTAAATAGCAATGTTGAAAAGAATGTACTTTATGTAGAAATCAAATAAAATTGAGGCAATTTACTAAAAAAACTTCCATTTATATAATGTGTGTTTGTAAAACACTATCCTGAGAATTATAATTATAATTCTATCATGTTTCCATTTGGGTACTTATATAATCACTTAATAGCAATAAAACTAAAAGAGAAAATACTCAAAATTATCTTTTTGCTGTGTTTCTGAATTATTTTAGTGAACTTAACAACAACAAAAATAGTATAATTACATACAAATAGAATAAAATGAAAAGTTTGCTTAAAAATTCATATTTAAGTAATCTACAGTTATAAAACAGTATCATAAGAGGTGTAATTTTCTCTAGCTTTCGTTTGAAGCATGGAATAATCACTTAATGGCAATGAAACTGACAGAAAATATCAAAATTGCTTAAGAAGAAAGCAAAAATGCATTTTATGATTCTGATCTTTGGAAGTAGGCTTCTTGGGAGGCAGGATCAATTCTGAAGGTGCATCACTTCTGTTTTCAAGTTGTGTGAACAGAAGAGAAAATCCAGCATTAATGAAGACATGTTTCTTGTTTCCAGTGAAGGATGTACTGGGCCATGGCCATGCCTGCGGAAAGAATCTCTGGGGAGATCCATGATGGCTTTCCAGAGAAGAGAGCATGACAGAAGTTTTGCTTCTCAGAAACATTCCCCTGAGACACATCTGTGCCATCTGACAAGAGGATAAGATAGAAGAACAGAGCCCGGGCAGCTGCCTCCTGTCCAGGTGAAATCTGGCATAATTAAATGACCAAGATCATCTGCACTATCTTTCCTATTGGTCCCCATTTCTGAAAGGATGGAAATGCATGCCTCTCAACATCATCAAAAGAAGACCTTGAGCACTGAATATCATTGAAGAAGGCAGCAAAGGAGTACCAGGAGAAACTCTGTTGTTGTGGGGGAATTGCTGTGTCCTGATGGAGGAGTCTGGTCCACACTAGGCACAGACCCTGGATCCCTGAGCCATCCTAACCTAATGCTCCACTGTCTTGGTACCAGGGGATTCTAGTACTTCCCATGCCTCTGCCAAATTCTCCTTTTGGAATATCAGGGACATAGAGATACTTTTTTAAAAAGCTGTAACTTAAGTTCTTCCTAAATCATTATTTCTCCAAAGTATGAGCCCAGAAGTTTGAGATGAGCCTGGGCAATATAGGGAGACTCTGTCTCCACAAAAAAATAATTTACAAAAATTAGCTACGTATAGTGGTGCATGCTTGTGGTTCTAGTTACTTGAGAGGCTGAGGTGGGAGGATCACTTGAGCCCAGGAGGTCGAGGCTGCAGTGAGCTGTGATTGTGTCACTGCACTCCAGCCTGAGCAAGAGAGAGACCCTGTTTAAAAAAAAATAAAAATAAAAAAGCGAAAATTTTGGCTAGGAATTCTGAAGATGTCTAGCACTTAAGATGCATGAATGATTTTTTCATCTGCTTTGGAAAGATTCTTCTCTTTCTTTCCATAGTAAATCACTTTAAATTGAATCTTGCATAATCATTTTGTTTTATTGATGCAGTTTAATAATGATTAAATTTCTGCTGAAGCTCTGAAATCTCACTTCGGAACTGGATTTTTCAGACTGCAATGAAGCTAGTACATTTATGAGACTTTTAACATTATCCATAAATGCATTTGTTATTTTGACTTCTTCAATGATTTAGTGTAGATTTTATTGCTTTTTCCTTCAAAAGTTTTTAAAGATACATTTACCATAGCCATATAAATCCAGCTTCTTCAGAACTCCATTTTAATAACATAGGTGTTAATCTTCATGACCTTGGGTTAGGCAGTGATTTTTTAAATATTACACCAGAGGCACAAGAAAAGAAAAAGAAAAAACTTGGACTTCATCAAAAGTAAAAATTTTTGTGCATTAAAGGACACCACCAAGAAAGTGAAAAGACAATCCACAGAATGGGAGAACATATCTGCAAGTCAGAAATCTAATAATGGTTTAGTGCCCAAAATATATAAAGAACTCTTAAAACAACATAAAGACAACCCAATTAAAAATGGATAAAGGAGATGAGTGCACATTTATCCAAAGAAGATATACAAATAGCTGGGCGCGGTGGCTCAAGCCTGTAATCCCAGCACTTTGGGAGGCCGAGGCGGGTAGATCATGAGGTCAAGAGATCGAGACCATCCTGCTCAACATGGTGAAACCCCGTCTCTACTAAAAATACAAAAAAAAAAAAAAATTGGCTGGGCATGGTGGCGCGTACCTGTAATCCCAGCTACTCAGGAGGCAGACGCAGGAGAATTGCCTGAACCCAGGAGGCAGAGGTTGTGGTGAGCCAAGATCACGCCATTGCACTCCAGCCTGGGTAACAAGAGCAAAACTCTGCCTCAAAAAAAAAAAAAAAAAGAAGAAGATATACAAATAACCAATAAGCACGTAAAAAGATGCTCAACATCATCAGTTGTTAGGGAAATGCAAATTAAACCACAGTGAAACACCACCTCACATCCTCTATCATTGCTATAATATAATTTTGTTTTTAATGCGAAATAAGTGTTGGCAAGGAAACCTCAGACTTGAACCCTCAAAACCTGCTAGTAGGAATGCTAAATAGTATAGCCACTGTTTAAAAAAATAAACGTTTCCTAAAAATGTTAAAGACAGAGTTACTACAGTATATGACCCAGAAATCACACACCTGGGAATATATCTAAGAGAATCGAATCATATGGTCAAATAAAATCTTATACATGAATGTTCATGCATAGTTTATAATAGGAAAAATGTAGAAACAAGCTACATGTCCATGCATGGATAAATGGGATGAACAGAATGTGGTAGACCCATACATTGGAATGTTATTCAGCCATAAAGCTAAGTGAAAGAAGCCACACAAAAGGCCACGTAATGTTTCAATTTATATAAAATGTCTAGAATACGGTAAATCTATAGAGGCAAAACATAGATTAGTGGTTTTCAGGTGAAAGTGGGCCGGGCGCGGTGGCTCAAGCCTGTAATCCCAGCACTTTGGGAGGCTGAGGCGGGTGGATCACGAGGTCAAGAGATCGAGACCATCCTGGTCAATATGGTGAAACCCCCTCTCTACTAAAAATACAAAAAATTAGCTGGGCATGGTGGCCCGTGCCTGTAATCCCAGCTACTCAGGAGGCTGAGGCAGGAGAATTGCCTGAACCCAGGAGGCGGAGGTTGCGGTGAGCCGAGATCGCGCCATTGCACTCCAGCCTGGGTAGCAAGAGCGAAACTCCATCTCAAAAAAAATAAAAAAGAGGCTGGGCACGGTGGCTCAAGCCTGTAATACCAGCACTTTGGGAGGCCGAGGCGGGTGGATCACGAGGTCAAGAGTTCGAGACCATCCTGGTCAACATGGTGAAACCCCGTCTCTACTAAAAATACAAAAATTAGCTGGGCATGGTGGCGCGTGCCTGTAATCCCAGCTACTCAGGAGGCTGAGGCAGGAGAATTGCCTGAACCCAGGAGGCGGAGGTTGCGGTGAGCCGAGATCGCGCCATTGCACTCCAGCCTGGGTAACAAGAGCAATACTCCGTCTCAAAAAAAATAAAAATAAAAATAAAAAAAATAAAAAAGAAAAATAAAAAAAAAAGAAAATGGGGACAGGAACCGTGAGTGACTGCTTAATGTGTGTGGTGTTTCTTTTCGGAGTGACAAAAAATGTTCTGGAGTTAGATAGTAGTGATGGTTGCATGACATTGTGAATGTACTAAAAGCCACTGGTTTGTATACTTTAAAGTGTTTTAAAATCAATTTTATCTCAGTAAAAAAACTTTATTAATCTTCAACACAATCTCCAGTGTCTGAGGCATTAATTATTAATATCTTAAATTCCCAGATCTCATTCTCCTATATAAGAACAGCAGCTCAATCTCTCATCTTCTGCAAGTTTTTTTTTTTATTCGGTTTATTCAGTTTACTCACTCTTTCTTTATATCTTAGCTTCTGGTGAAAGCAGATTTATGTTTTTGTGAAAGTATGCTTTCATCCAGACCATCTTTTATTGCCACCTTAAATTTTTTTTTCATTTATCTGATATATTTTAAAGGCTGTTTTCATTGCAGCTACTTGAACTTGATGTCTGATGCATTTTCTAAAGACCAAGTCTCTCTCATAATCTCTTTTAACCCAAATAATTGGGTATTTCCAGAATTTTTTGCTTACGGCCTCCATAAGCAAAGGCTGGCTTCCATTAAAGCACATTGAAATCTTTCAAATTCTATTCAAATGAGGCTAAGCTTGAAAAAAAAATTGATGTTTTTCCTCCAGGAAGGCAGAAACGCTAATAGTCAGTCCTTTATGTTTACTTGCATAAAGTTCTATTTTAATAATTAAAAATCTGACTATGATTGAAAATACCTTTATATCCCACAGCAATTGGTGGGGATCTGTGCTGTTTGAGAAGCACTGCTCTAAACTCTTTCGCATGCTTCAGGTATCAGCCAACGTGCCTTTTCCTCAGGGAGGCTTTTGTAACCCCACAATCTGAGTCAGGCCCTTAATTATGACCTTCAGAGAAGCTCCGTCCTTTCCTTCAAATATTTATCATAGTTTATCACCACATGCTCACCTCCACCCAGAGGTAGCTATTATCCTAAATTTTGTAAGCCTGTCTTTGTTTAACTTAGACTTTACCACACATATAGGTAACTCTAAACAATTATTTGATTTTGTCTGTTTTTTAAACTACATCTATTAAGTCATATCATATGTGACTTTCTCTGACTTACTACTTGGCTTTCACTCTATGTTGTGAAATTCATCCTTTTATTATGTGAGGTTGTAGCGTATTCATTTTCACTGCTGTATAAAATTCCAAGATATGAATAGATGACAATTTTGTAATCCATTTTAATGTCAATAGAAATTTCAATTGTGTCAACATATTTTGCTATTAGGAACAATTATGGGCTATTGTGCAATGGAGTTTCTTATACAGGTATCTCTTGCTTCACATGTGCTAAGAATTTTTTTTTTTTTTTTTTAGTTTAACCTTAGGAGTAGAATTGCTTGATATGTGACACATACTTACTTGACTTTACTGGGTGATGCTAAATTGCTTTTCAAAGTTGTTGTAACAAATCACACCCCCACCAGTAGTGTGTGAGTTTACGCTGCTCTGTATTCTTGTCAAAACTTGGTATTGTCTTATTTTTACGTTTATGCCAATCTGGTGGATTTAAACAGTTTCTCATTGTGGTTTTAATTTGCATTTATCTGATTACTAATGAGATCGAATCTCTTTTTCTATGTTTCTGGGCATTTGGATTTCCTCTTCTGTGAAGAGTCTTTTCCTCATTTTCTACTGAGTCATTTATCTTTTTCCTTATTGATTTGTAGGAATTATTCATAGACTCTAGATACTAATTTTTGTTTATTATATATATTATATGACTATCTTCTCCCAGTTATGGCTTCTCTTTTCATTCTTTTTATCATGTCTTTTGTTGAAAAGAAGTTTTTTAATTCTTATGATTTATTACCTTTTGCTTTATGGGTGGTTATTCCTGAACTTCGTATAAGAAATCCTTTCCTAATCTATGGTCATAAAGATATTCCAGCAGGGCACGGTGACTGATGCCTGTGATCCCAGCACTTTAAGAGGCTGAACCAGGTGGATCACCTGAGGTGAAAGTTCGAGACCAGCCTGGCCAACATAGTAAAACCCTGTCTTAATTAAAAATACAAAAAATTATATGGGCGTTGCATCAGACGCCTGTAATCCCAGCTACTCAGGAGGCTGAGGCAGAAGAATCGCTTAAACCCAGGAGGCCGAGGTTGCAGGGAGCCAAAGATAGCACCATTGCACGCCAGCCCGGGCAACAAGAGTGAAACTCAGTCTCAAAATTAAAAAAAATAATAAAAAAAAAAGATATTCCATACTTTCTCCTAAAAGTCTTAAGTTTTACATTTTGTACTTGGGTTTGATTCATATGAAATTGAATTTTGAATATGGTGTGAAGTAGGTATTCATTTTTGTATGAGTCTAGTATGAAACATTTGAAAATGTTCTTCTCTAGTATCAAGCAAGCCTGGGGGTAGGCAATTCAACCATTCTACTCTGTGGTATATTTTCTAGAAAGACATTCTTGGGCAGATGAAGCAGGAGAAATGTATGAACAAGTTCATGGA